CCAAGCTATTCCTCTTCTTTTTGTAGCTTTTCCTTTTAATTTCCTACGCCTATATGGTTGTGTTTCTTCGACCCAGTCACCCTCGTCATTGTCCAAGTTTATAGTTGGGATTGAGAACAAGGGACTTGAGATGGTTGTGTTTGGAATTGTTGAGATGGTTGTGTTTGGAATTGTTGGGGTCGAAATTGTTGAAAACCTTGGAATTGGGATTGTGGTAATTGTTGTTGAAAGTAGTTTGGTTGAAATGGAATATTGGTAAATAGAGGTTGATGTTGGATTGGGGATGTTAGCATTTGAATATAACCTTGATTTTGATCATTTGGAGTGGTTGGGGTTGTTGGGGTGTTTGGAGTGGTAAATGTATTTTGATTTTGCTCCATATTTTTTAGAGATACTGAGATAGTAGAGAGATATTATTTATAGAGAAAGATGTGTTTTGTGTGTTTATGTGTTTATGTATATATAGTAGAGGAAATACATTGAAAAGTTTTTTTTTATTTAATTAAACTAACGGTCAAAAAGAACGGACAAAAAGCTTTAGCGAATCAAAATCCGCGTAACCGTCCATGATACCCATCAATCCGCGTCACATTTACCGGTAGGGGGGACGGTGTTCACACGTGAATACCCCCTACACGTCACCTCTTATGCGTCAAAATACACTCCATACCCTATGGCCTTAGAAAATGTTTATTTATCCAGTAAAGTTGTTGTGCATGCTAGAGTCATCTTGGGGTATCACGAGCTTCAACAGTCACTAACTTAGGGAGGTTGGGTTGTCACCAACAGTATGTTAAATTGTCTCTAATCGATGGAACAACCACTTTCCCATTATTCATCTATCCTTTTTATGTTTTACATTGTGTAAGTTGTGCATGATTAGAGGCATCAGGACCATCTCTACAGGCTCTATGTCTTCAGATCGAGTGAGCCATGATATTGTTTTCTTATTTCTTACTTCAATTATTAATCTATGTGTTTATGAATTCCTTTATTGTTTGTCAAAGTGCATTAACCCTAATCATGTCCCCTTTTAGCCCCCGTCATGTATTTGTGTTTAGGATCAAATTTGCCTTATGGGATTGCGCACTTCGTAGCACCTAATTTATGTTATATCATAGTTTATTTCCTTAATTGGAATTTGTACAAATTATAATTACACCAACAATTAGAAGGAATAATGTACTTGGGCTTTAATGGTCTTTATGGTTTAGTCATTTACTCTTGAGGAAAATTCGATTTAGCTATTATATTCTTTGTTTAACAAAGTAATATTGTTTTATGTGTTTTAACTTAGTAGTGGTTCAAAGTGTCTAGATACTATAAGAACTAGTCACAAGTAATTCTTGAACAAACAATGTCAAAATAATGTAAGTTATCCAACTTTCCTTGTAACTAGTGTAGGTGTCCATGCTTTGCATGGGTTAGAAGAGAATTACATAGCAAAAACATACAAGGATTGCCTTAAATTCATCTGTCATACAAGGATTTGATAAAGACATAAAATCTATTGTCCAAAAGAATGCAATACATTTATAACATTCAGAAAAGGAGAAAGCCATCCCACAACATGTATGTAGTTACCAGGTGCAAAATAGTCAAAGGTTGAAATGGGTTTGCTTTGTTATATTTATTGTACCAAGTATATACTTGGTTTCCAGTAACCTTATGTTCTTTGTGGTAACCTCCCAATTGATTTTGTCAATTTCCCCAACTTGATCATGCGACTCTATCGAGCAATCAGTGTCAGTCCACGACTTCTGGTTTTGGTAATTTGTTAAAAAGTTGAAAAAAGAAAATTATAAATGAAGAAAGAAAAACACACCTGATTTACTGTAATCTTTTTTGTTACATTTATTTGCATACCTCTACTTTTTTTTGTTACTTTCATTTATTTTTTAATAGAATCTTATGTGTATCATCAATTACTCTGTCATTTTTATCGAACAAATTATTAAGGAAAAAAAGCACCCCTAATTACAATGTAGACTCGTTTCGCCATCTTCACTTTATCACAATCAAAGGAAAAGTACAACCTGTGGTTCTATTCCAATATATAGTTACAAAAAAAATTGCATTAAAATGATAATATTGTCATTTGAAAAATTGTAAAACAGTAAACTAAATTAAAAGAAAATATGGTTGATCTACTAAAGAAGAATCTGCAATGCATACCAGGAAAGATCATGATAAGTTAAGCAAATATGTGAGGAAAAGTAAAAACAAATGAGGGGGAAGAGAACTTTAGAAAGTTTGTACTCAATGAATGGAGTAAGCCAAAACTTTCTAACCCCAGTCTTAAGTGTTTTTTTTATTAGACTAAACTGCACAAATGGTCCCCGTGGTTTACTCAAAATTGCCACTTTGGTCCAAAAAGGTTTGGACTAGCACCAAGGGTCCAAACTTTTCATTTTGTTACGGGTTTAGTCCAATTTGCTTTGAACTTTTTTATAATGATGGATTTGCCCTTGCTTTTTCAGTTTTATTTATTTATTTAAATGTTTTTATAATTAAAAGAAAATAAAAGAACCAATTAATGTCTCTCTCTTTCTCTCTCATGTTCTTCTTCTTGACCTGATTGTCTTTTTCCTCAAAAACACACACACACACACACATCACCAGAAATTATAACTCCAAACCCTAATAACTCTTGATAACGATCTTTGAATGTTCCAATCGAAATCGATGATTAGCATTACTACTAGATGCTTTGATTGAAGTTAATAGAAGTGAGATTTGAGGATTTTCTCTTCTTTGAGATCGATTTCAGAGAAAAAAACATATAAGAAGCGTCTTCAAGAGCTGACATAGAGGAGTTGATTTAACTTGTTGTTGTATATGCGTATCAGAGAAAATCTAGATCACAGGGGTGTACAAGAACCTTTTGCAAGAGGTGTCTCAAATGGGTCTCGTGTACAGATTACAGGAGTGTTCATAGAGAATCGGGTTGGAGGAAATGGGTCTCAAGTTTTTGACTAGAATCTATTTAGGTGCGATGTCTTTTTCTAATGAGATAGATGAGGATGCGATGTGCTTGATCTTCCAGTTGGATTTTTGTGAGTTTTCTTGTTTCTTGCTTGATCGATCGATTGGGGATTTTTGAAGTGGATATTTATGTATTCTTTTGTTTCTTAATCATTTGATCTTGGATTTTAGACCTATGAATTGGGTCTTCATGAGTTCTTCTTTTTCTTGATTATTCCATTCGGGATTTATGATTTCACTAATCGATGCTGATTTCATCCCCTGTTCTTGAGCATCATTCAAGCTTTAAGTTATTTTTTGTTTGGGTTTTATGGGTATTCTTGTTTAAACTTTAAAGACACCTGCAAATCCGAAACAGAGAGATTTGGTAGAACAGCTAAAGATGGATGAAAAAGGGATGTGTCTTTCAAAAAAATTCATAGACCTCTCATTGTTTTTGGATTGAATGTGGTTCACAAAGAAGATGATGAATAGTGGATCCCCCAAGAAAATGTAAACCCCAAGGGCTTCTGTCTTTTGTGCCTTTTTTATACCCCAAACGAAATCAAAAATAGGGTCTGTCTTCTGAATTTGTGGTGCTCGAATCTTGTTGTGTTCTTGCTTGTTGGGAAGACATCTGCGATAAATGTTGCTGGTTTCATTGATTTCTGATCATCATTTTTTATGGTTCGCTTGGGGAAGATGAGTTGGGTTAGCTTCGTACAGGAGAGAGAGAGAGAGAGAGAGAGAGAGAGAGAGAGAGAGAGAGAGAGAGGGGGGGAGAGAGAGAGAATAATTGGTTTTTTATTTTTTTAATTATAAAACCATTTAAATAAATAAAAAAACTGAAAAAGAAAGGGCAAATCCATCATTATAAAAAAGTTCAAAGCAAATTGGACCAAACCCGCAACAAAATGAAAAGTTTGGACCTCTGGTGCTAGTCCAAACCTTTTTGGACCAAAGTGGCAATTTTGAGTAAACCACAGGGATCATTTGTGCAGTTTAGTCTTTTTATTAAGTTAAAAGAACAATGAAGGGCATCTATATAGTCACAAACCTAAGCAAAAAATTTGGGTAGTCCGTTCAGTCGAATTAAGAGTTGACCAATTTCAATTCTTATACCTTGGATGGCCTAGTAATGACAGACATAATGGTCGATAGAAGAACCAGACAACTAATAAGATACTACACAACATATTTCAATTTCCACATACGACTCACAATTCACAAAGAAGAAAAAGTAAATAGGTAGAATTTCACGGTAAAATTATAGAATATTACTAATTAGCTAGTGATTAAAAATGATTACTAAACTAAAATTAACAACTCTAACCGATTATTAGCTAAGGACTTAGAAATTCAATTCACAGAAGCAAAATCAAAGTTAGAGGAGAACGAAATGTAAGGGGGTGTTTCGATAGGAAAAAAAATGCTTGTTGCTTATTCTCACAATAAACTAATTTAAGTGTTTGGATAAAATCCAACTTATTAGGCTAAATAAGTTAATTTTAATAAGCATACTCCCCATGCTTATTACTTATTGCTTATTCCCACCACAAATAAGCTATAAGCAATAAGTTAAAAATCTAATCCAAACACCCCCGAAGTACAAGATAAAATGGAATGAAATTACACAACATAAAACTGAAGAAAAAAAAACAGGGACGATTCCTTCATTTATAGTTGAAGCTAATTGGGATTGTAATCGGATCATATCGATCAAAGGAGTCATCGGTCCATCCTAGAGTTTTATCGGAAGCCATTACGGAAAAAACAATCAAACTTAAAATCACTTTCACATACTCTACATCCTAAAGTTGCTCTTTCAATCGTCGCTTCGCTCTTTGACTTCCAAACAATCAACATCACCGCCAATCTTGTTTTCTTATTTCCTCCATTATCAGGAGGTAATCCGCAATCATCAACACCGACCCTAATTTCTTCAAATGTTAACCAACAAAAAATTTGGTTGAATCAGATCGAAGTGGTGTCTGTACGATATCGTTTCTTTGGTTCCTTGTCAATATTGGTGGAGAATGGGGCGGAAGGATGAACTTGACGGCGTTTCGACAGAGACGGTCTATAGTAGAATCAACGCTTACCCGAATCAGCAAACCCTAAAATTAGGGTTGAGAGACACAACACCTGTTGATTTAACCCAAGAAGAAGGTGAAGACAAAGGAAATGGGAAAACACCGATTCATGGAGAAGGTAGACAGAGAGAAAGACGACCGTTTTGTGCAGCTCCAATCGAACGGTGAATGGAAGAAAAAATGAGATGAAGGTGATTTCCAACACCTCAGTCGCCGATTTCAAATTTGGGAGATGACCTTGAGAGAGAAGGAAATCAATCCATCCCTGTATAAGCTAGCTCTAAGGGGGTGTTTGGCTTATCTTTTGAGAGGCCAAAAGGATTTTTTCCAAAAGTTACAAAAAGTCAGGAAATCCTGACTTTTCCAAAAAATCATTTTTATTATATCAAAATCCCAAAAGTAGCTTTTAAAATACTTTTACCAAACATCTTTTTCCTTCTATCTTTTTCAAAAAGTTCTTTTGGTCTTTCAAAACAGAAGCCAAGCACCCCCTAAAGAAAGATGAAAAAGGGATTTGAGAGAATATTGGTTCTCGAGGTATTTGAGACGGTGGGTCGATGAAGTAACTCTGGTCGGTGGGGAGGAGATTTTAAGCAAACGATGAAGAATAAGCGGTGGAGAAAAACAGTAAAAAACCCAAAGCAGATAACATGTAAAAAAGACGTAAAAAAAATCACCACATGCACTGTTCATAAGAACATTGTGCTTTAATTAATTAGTATATATAAATTCTTGAATAAAAATTGTCAAAAGAACGTAAGTTATGCAATTTTCCTTAGAAATGTAATATTTTGCTAAGCGGGTCATCCTGGAACCAGCGTAACAAATGAAAATGGAGGAAAACAAATTAATTAAACAATAAAACATGTCCTTTGTATTTCAACACATAGACACAGTGGGTTATTTGTCGCTTCAGGTTTCATAGACATTCACATAGTTCCTTCTATACTTCCGCCAAAACAATTTTTAGATCTATTCATATTTCTTGTTTTAGAAAAAAAAAAAATATTATACTAAATAATTCAAGTCGCATCATAATTGTAGAATGAAGACGGTGGATGGGGTTTTTTTATGGAAGGCAAAAGTACGATGATTGGATCTGCATTGGTCTATGTAGCCCTTCGTATACTAGGAGAAGGAAAAAATGGAGGAGATGGTGCAATGGACCGAGGCCGCAAGTGGATACTTGACCATGACGGTGCAACCTCCATTCCCTCCTGGGGAAAGCTCTATCTTACGGTAAATATCTAATCTATACACCAACTAGTTCCCTATACATAATATGATATGTGCTTTAAGTAGAGTTTTACAAAAAATAATAATAATAATAATAATAAAAGAAAAAATTGTTTGAGAGAGAAAATGAAAAGGTATTTTTACTTCGATTCAACTCAAAAGACAAAAGAAATCACAGGAAGCCTATTGATATATAATAAACGATAATACCCACTTTTTCTTATGATTGTTGATAATGATATCTCTTATTTATTTTCATGTATTTACATATATAGGTGCTTGGAGTGTATGATTGGGAGGGTTGTAACCCATTGCCACCAGAATTCTGGATTATCCCATCGATATTTCCTTTTCATCCCGGTAATTAACTATATATTTTTAAAATTATAACCAATATTTTCAATGTGCTTTCCTTGATTTCATAAAATTTAGAAATCACTTCATACAAAAGAAAAATTTTATACATTTTTCAAACTCTCTTAATTTATCCTTATGACTTGTACAGCTGAGATGTGGTGTTATTGTCGAACAACATACATGCCTATGTCATATTTATATGGGAAAAGAATCCAAGGACCCATCACATCTCTTGTTTCATCACTGCGAAAAGAAATCTACCCGATCCCTTTTGAGCATGTTAATTGGAATAAACAAAGGAATAATTGTTGTAAGGTTGGTACTTTCTTAAGACCTTAAACATAAAATTGGCACCATGTTTTGGATGTGCGGAGTGTATATATATATATATATATATATATATATATATATATATATATATATATATATATATATATATATATATATATATATGTGTGTGTGTGTGTGTGTGTGTGTGTGTGTGTGTTTCTCTTTACAGGAGGACTTGTACTATCCGCATTCATTTCTTCAAGATGTTTTGTGGCATACCCTTCACTACATTACTGAGCCTGTCCTTAAATATTGGCCATTTTCCAAACTACGAGGGAAATCGCTTGATAAGATTGTTGAGCTAATGCGCTATGAATCACAAGAGACTAGATACATGACCATAGGATGCATTGAAAAAGTAAGATACAATGTTGATGTAAAGAAACAAAGAAAATTTATAATAGAATAAAGTTTCTACCTAAAATTTTTAACAAATGTTTTTTATGTTTTGGGTAGAGTCTACAAATGATGTGTTGGTGGGCAGAGAATCCAAATGGTGATGAGTTCAAATATCACTTAGCCAGAGTTCCAGATTATTTATGGATTGCAGAAGATGGAATGACAATGCATAGTTTTGGTAGTCAAGTGTGGGATTGTATTTTTGCAACTCAAGCAATTATTTCAAGTAACATGACAGAAGAATACGCTGATTGTCTCAGAAAGGCACACTTTTATTTAAAAGAATCTCAGGTTAGTTTTTTTAGCATATGCATGGATGCATAATTATGTTTTTCAAACTTAGATAGTTTTCCTCATTATACTACATTATATGCAGATAAAACAAAATCCTTCAGGAGATTTCACTCGAATGTATCGACATATCACTAACGGAACATGGGCCTTCTCCGACCAAGATCATGGATGGGCTGTCTCTGACTGTACAGCCGAAGCACTAATGGTACATCCAAATCCAATTAGATATTTTTTATTTGTATATACATCTTATTATTATTATTATTATTATCATTCATCTTATGTTGTAGTGTCTACTCTTACTATCAAACATGCCGAAAGAAATTGTTGGAGAGAAAGTCGACAATGCCCGACTTTACGAGGCAGTGAATTTTCTTCTTTACTTGCAAGTATGATACATATGTCTTAGAAATGAATATATTTTATCCTTTTTAGCTTGAAAAAATAATTATAGTCTTTATTTCAAGCACAAACAATGAAATAACCTGAGCTACCTTTGTCTGTTTTCTCTTCATTTAGAGTCCGATAAGCGGAGGATTTGCTGTTTGGGAGCCACCGATTCCCAAACCATTTCTACAGCTTCTTAATCCTTCAGAGATGTTTGCAGATATAGTTGTTGAGAAAGAGTAATTCTCCTACAAAGTCATTAGCTCCATATATTATCAATAGTGATCTATATATAATTACAATAATATATGCCATAACAAAGGTGAAACGAAAGTAATAACAAAGAGAAAACGTAACATAAATTTTTATTAATAAAAGTGATTGTTAATATGTATTTTTGCTGAATTAGGCATCTGGAACCCTCAGCTTGCATTATTGTATCTTTGGTAGAGTTCAACCGTGTCCATCCAAGACACAGAAAGAAAGAAATAGAACTTTCAATTTTTAATGGAATTCGATATCCGGAGGAAACACAATGGCATGATGGTTCATGGTAAGACGTAGTATGGATTCTATTTTTGTGACTACTTTGAGCTATGAAATTAAAGATATATGTATAATTGTATCCAATATATAGAAATCGTTGGTAATGGTTGATATTATTTAACTTTTCTTTGGGATTGATAGGTATGGTTACTGGGGAATATGTTTCCTATATGGAACATTCTTTGCCTTAAGGGCCTTAAGTGCTGCTGGAAAGACATACGAAAATAATGAAGCAGTATGTAAAGGTGTCAAATTCTTACTTTCCAAACAGAATGAAGAGGGTGGTTGGGGAGAGAGCCACCTATCTTGTTCTACTGAGGTAAGCTTCATCTCTTTGCTCACAAATAATGTCGATTTGATTACCACAAGATATAGTAACTAACAAATATCATTATATATCTGATCAAAAGAGGCAATTAAAGCAGTCTATTACTAAAATAGAAATGTGCAACCTTCATCTCTCTCAACATTATGTTTCTATTGTTCATCAAGGTGTATACCCCATTGGATGGAAACCGAACAAATTTGGTGCAAACATCATGGGCTATGCTTGGTCTTATGTTGTGCGGGCAGGTTATTTTCCATGCTTTTATTTACGGGTGGAAATATTAGAGACTTTGTTAAAATTGGTCAATTTGTGTTTTATGTTAGTTATATAGAGTCAAACCAATAAAGAAAGGTTAGCTACATACGTTGTGAGTTTAAAAAAAATTCAACTCCATTTTGAAATTTTCATATCAAGTTATCACCATGCATGCATGCATGCAACTAGATCATGGTGGCTTACAACCTTTTAAAATTCTAAGTCAAAATACTATATCATAATTTCATTTTTTTAAAATCATATTTAACATGGAAATCTTTAGAAAAAACTCTAAATAAGGCCAAAGTTTAGGGATATTTTCGATAATTTTCCTATTTAATAAACTAAATATTAATGGTTTTCAAAATATGGATTGAAAAATGCTTTGATAGGTCAATACAATGTAGTAATTCAAGTTGGAGAAAAAAGAAGAAAGATTTTATTAAAATTTTCATTGATTAACTATCTAAAATAATTACAGAAGTCGGAATATATAATCAAGTTAACTATTATGAACATGACATCATAACTAATTTAACTAACCTCACTTAACAGAAAATTAACAAGTTTCTGACTGAAATCTAGCAACCCTTCTAATTGAAATAAAGCATGCGACAAAAGGCTATTAGTCGAGACTAACAACCACCCAACCAAGTCTTTTGGGATCTACCAGTATTTGCAACTGTCAACTCAAGTCTAGGTCATTTTTCCACCTCTAAATTAATTGCTTTAAAGGTTTATGTATCAAATTTAATAGATATTTAAGATAAATTAAATTGTTTCCTATTTTTTATGCCTACAAATGTTCTTGTCCATTAAAATTATGACAAGTGTCATCATTCCATATTATTTTAACTAATTCATTAATACTATATTAGGAATATATATAAAAAAAATTGAAGAGTGAAATAATGCCACTAGTCAAAATTTTAATTTGTAGAAATATTTATAGGCATAAAAGACAGAATGTAATTTAATTTCACAATTTTTCATATTTACAAACAACAGGCAGATAGAGATGTAACGCCCTTACATAAAGCAACAAAACTGTTGATTAACGCTCAAATGGATAACGGAGATTTTCCTCAACAGGTAATTCCTAAAAAGATTCAAAGCATTCAAAGTTATACTTTTATGAATCCCATGACAAATAAAACACAAGACTTTAACATATATATATATATATACACACACCACACATTTCTCCATCTTCGGTTTAAGCAATCCAGCGTACCAACACGACGGAAGATGTAATATTTATATGTGAATATATAAAATTGAATATATGAATATTATGTAGTATATTCTCATATGATTATTTGTATATGATTTATTCATATATGTTTATTCACAAGTAATTATTCATATATGACTATGGTTGTTGGCGGAGGAGATGATGGTGGCGGTGGTGGTGTAGTGATGGTTATTGCGATGATTGTTGTATTGGTGGTGATATAGTGAAGGAGGTGGTGGTGGTGTAGGAAAAGGTGGTGGTAAATAGAGTGGACCACACATTTCTTTATCTTCAGTTTAAGTGATTTAGTGTACCGTACCGGTAGGACATGTACCGGCAAGACAAGAAAAGTAATATTTATATATGAATATATAAAATTAAATATATGGATATTATGTAGTATATACTCATGTGATTATTTATATATGATTTATTCATATATGAATATCCACAAATTATTATTCATATATGATTATAGTTGTTGGCAGAAGAGATGGTGGTGGTGGTAGTGATGGTAGTGATGGTGGTACAGGTGGTAGATATGGTGGAGCTGGTGATAGTAGTGACAGTCGGTGGCGGTGGGGAAGGTTCCGGAGGGAGAGGGGGTGGTGGTGTTAGTACTTAATATTGTTATACAAATATATTTAATTTAACAATACAATTATATGTGGTCTAGATTGATTTTCGCAATCCTTACCTTTTTTCATTCAAATGAACTTTTATATATATGGTGAAAGACCCATGTATTACATGAGTTTATTTTAAAAAAAATCAAATACAAAAATTCTAAACATTTGAAAATGTTTGAATTTATAAGAAGAATTAGAAAAATATTGAATTATTAAATTAAAATGTTTTTTCTCTTGTAAATTTAAACAAATAATTTAGATAAATAAATAAAGGAAACTAATAAAGTTTTAATTTAGAAATGTTGAAATTAGAAGGAAAGTCAATTATTGAAATTGATATGCATTTATTATTATATTTAATATTATGTGAATTTAATAAAATAGAAAAAACCACAAAATGCCAAGTGGAGAAAATTTAATTGAAATTAACCACAAAATGACATGTGACCAAATCAATATGGGTATGACATGTGTCAAAAAGATTTTCATTTATTAGAGAGGATATATATATATATATATATATATATATATATATATATATATATATATATATATATATATATGTATGGAAGAGTGAATATACCCTTAAGGGTATATAAGCTTACGTACCCAAACACACTATAATACGTCGTTTTGTTTGATATATTTATTATAGTATTCTTAAACTTCAACCCTCAACTTGATTTACTTTCAAGATTTTTGAAATTTCATTATTATATTTCTTTTACATCACATTTTTTTGCCGAACACCTACTAGGCTATATATAATGTAGTTGAAAATGACAATTATGTAAGAGGAAGATATGTGTGTAATTTATAAAAATCTGTGAAGTAATTAAGTTAAAAGTTAAATTTTAAGAACATTGGGACAATTAGAATGTATTATATGATACTAAACAATGTAGTATAGTGAGTTTGGGTACGTAAGCTTATATACCCTTAAGGGTATATTCACTTTTCCCATATATATATATATATATATATAATATATATATATATATATATATATATATATATATATATATATATATATATATATATATATATATATATATATCTTAAGTATTAGCTCATCTACACAGGAAATTACTGGAGCTTGGATGAAGAATTGCACTCTACATTTTGCACAATACAGGAACATTTTCCCACTATGGGCACTTGGGGAGTACCGTAAACGTGTTTGGTAGTGTAAACAAGGTTATTCAAATTTGAGTTATCATGGCCTATGGAGAATTCTAATCCTAAGATGTGATATTCATGAAATCAAAAACTATCCAAATCATGCATAATATTTTATGTATCAAATCCTTGAAAGTCTTATCATATATACAGTGTGAATGCGTAATCCATAATACTTTATGTATCAAACCCTTGAAAGTATGTATGTTAGCGTTTGATAAATATTATTATTTGAAAATCTATCTAAATATCTTGTAGTGTGGTAAAACTCGTTGAGTTGACCGATTACTCCTCCGAGTACTCGCTACTCGGCCCTTTACTGAGGCGAGTTACAGAATCTCGAGTACTTCCCGATTGACCCATTACCAAACCGAGTAGTGTTGTAAAATTCGGTTAACTCGGTCAACCTTGATATCTTGTAGATATAGCACGATTATTTTGATCATGAAAACCACATTAATTCTTTATGTTCTTGGTTTTCTTTGGATCTTTATTATGTGTATACCGCATCCTTAATCCTAACAGTCTGTATTAGAGATATGGCTAAATACGACAAGGTTAAAAGGATGTGGTACGGGACAGGGGCAATTATAGGGGCGTTATGCTCGCCACGTCACCCCAAACTCCAGTATAACACCAGCTACCCCCCCCCCCCTTCTCATTTAGGGGCATTTTGGGGTTTCCGATCCTAATGACGATGAGATGAATCAGGAAATCCGATTGGTTATTCGTTTTTTGACAGCTTGGGTGTTGGGGTTTGAAGAACGATAAAAATAATTAATTAATTAATTATTTTTACCTATAAATACATAATATCTATCATTTTCAGTTCACACAATTCCCCTATTTCTCTATATTTTCTACAATTTCAAAAGTTTTCAGAAAAGAAATTATGGATCCTTTTGACTCATCTGACGATGAGAGTGACGATATATTTATCACTGCGATGTACCAGTATTGCACAAATGAGCTACTACAACCAGACATAACCCCTCTACTAACAAGACGTGCAATGTTAAATAGAAATCGCAAGGAACGACACGAACGTCTATATCACGATTACTTTGAGGATAATTGTGTATACACGTCAAAAGAGTTCAAAATAAGATTTCATTTAAGTAGGAATATGTTCATACGGATCACCAACGCCTAGGAAATCCGATATCATTTCTTTAGTTTTAATACATATTTACTATATTTTTATATAAAATAAATACAGATTTACTGTGTAAGTCCCGAAATTGCTTGTGTATAAATCAGATCCAATTGATGGTGCGGAATCCCAATCAATTGGATGATGTCAGATCAATATAGAAGAGAAGGAGAAGAAGAAGATGACGAATCTAATGATGTATTCAATATGAATGATGCTCCTTACAATAGATTCTCTCACACACACACTTCTTCTCTCTAACTTTCTCTCTCTACAAGATGCTCTCCTCTCGTACCATCTCTAACCGTACACTCCCACATGCACACTCTATTTATATGGACCTCCAGCCATACACATGTGTACAGCCGCACACCCTATGTACGGTCGTACACAGTGTGTGCGGCCATACACACGTGTACGACCGTACACACAAACCGCAAACACATACAATATTACATAAAAATATATTTTCCTAGAAAAGCAAAGTATAAACCATATTTTTGACCCAAAAATCTCCCCCTTGGTGTATAGCTTTCTTTTCTAAATGACCCAACAAGCTCCCCCTAAAAAATAGCTGGCTTTTCTTGTTAATCTTCATTGGGAACTTGGCTTCAGCATTAATCTTCAAATTCTTCACAACATCAAGATGAACATATGAATCTTCAATAAATGACTTCAACTTGAGCGGTTGAGTGTTTCTTCAAAATTTGACATTGAACGCACATTGGGTGAGGAGGCTTGATGTACTGATTCTTGAAAGATAGCGCTTTCAGCTTGAGAATCTTCACAGAGAACGAATCTTTTGGATCACTTCAGCAGGTACAAAGATAGCAGCAGACTGATTGAGGAGGGTTAAATGCAATCTATCACATATTCTTCAATTTCAGCTTCACCTTGCTTCTAGGGTTAAATGATGGAATGTCGAAAGAATAATCTTTATTTCTTGCTCCTCCGAATGTGAGTTCTTCGATGCTCACAGATGAAGCATTGGCTTAGAAATCTTCAACACAAACTCCATGAGTCTTATCTATACCTGAAATCACTTTTCAAGACAAAACAAAACTAAAAGAAAAATTAACACATAAAATAAAAATAGATACAAAAACATTTTTTTGATTTTCTGATTTTTCTGAATAAGAAATAACACTATTTTTGGAATTTTAATTTTCTGATTTTTGTTTGATTTTTGAATTATTTTTAATTCTCCCCCTAAAATTTATGCATAGAGGAAAACTATGAACAAATTTAACAAAAATAAGATGATATCTAACTTTAGGATGATTTGGGATCAAAGTTTTTTAGATAGCCTTTATCCGCTTGTCGGTACCTTCTATCTTCACATCTTTGTCTGGTCGATCGTCGGTATTGTTGTCCACTTAAACACGGAAAATTGTGACAAAGTTAGGACATACTATAAGTGACAAGACAATGTGATCCTAAGTTCCTAGATATTATATCTGATCCTAAGTTTAAGGACCATTAGGTTGACGACGACCAGGGATATTGTTGTCCACCTAAATTGAGCAGCGAGATTAGGGATGTTATTCGGGTCGGAACCGAACCGAACCGAATAAACCGAAAACCGAATAAGGGTAATTGTATGAACCGAAAACCGAACCAAATAAGCAATACGGGTTCGGTTCGGGTATTATTCGGTTCGGTTCGATTCCGGCCCAAATAACCCAAATAACCTGTGCAAGATGATTAAGGAGTCGAATAACCCGAATATTTTGCAGTCGAATAACCCGAATAACCCAAATATTTTGTATTACTTTTGAATCTTATGATTTCATAAATATATAACCCGAATAACCCGAATAACCCTAATAGCCCGAATAACCCGAATAACCCAAATATTTTGTATTACTTTGTGTTTTTGTTAAGGAGTCGAATAACCCGAATAAATATTGTATTTTTTATGACTTATGTAGCTTATGATTTCATAACGAACCTTTTAAAGAAACAAATTAAACACTAAAAATTAAACACCCAAAAATCTATCCATAAGTATATACGTTAAACATTAAACATTCAACACCCAAATAAAAATATGAATCTTAAGTTTTTATCCGATATCCAAAATAACATTTTTTCAAACACGAATTAACTATTCAAGAATATTAATTGGTTGTTTTCCCTTTCCATCTCCGTTCTTTATCGCATCTTCTAAAGCTTTGGCGACCTCATCGTCTTTCAAAATTTCATCAATGTTGTCCACAATTTGCTTTCTTGATTTTCTTACCCAATCTTGAGTGCAAACCAAAGCCTCTACTATATTTGCAGACAAATTTGTTCTATATGGATCCAATATCCGCCCGCTTGTACTAAACGCCGCCTCTGACGCCACAGTAGAGATTTGCAGTCCCAAAATATCTATCAGCATAAACAGAGAAAATGTTAAAATATAATTATATAAAAAAGTATAAAAAAAATAAAGTTATACCTTTCACCATACGGGATACAATAGGGTAACGACATGCATTTTGTTTCCACCAAAGTAGAATATCAAAATCTTTATTGTATTTAACTGACTGCTCGTTTAGGTATCGTGTCAACTTCATTTCCATTGATGCCGATGGGTAATCAATTTGAACTATTAAATCACCCATGAAGTCATTCTCATCATCAATCACAACTACATCTTCATGACCATGTGTTTGATTTTGAGAAGAGTCGGTATTGTCAAACTTTGATTTGTAGAAATAAAAAAAATTCTCAAATCTTTGTTGAAGACCCCGTATTAAGACCTTAGCCTTCAAAATGACTTCCGAGTTGAGCATAGGATCTTTTTGTGGATTCTTCAACTTAATCAACTTCTCAAAAGCTTGTTGAAGAAAATCAAACTTGAACCGTGGATCTAATATGACCGCAAAATACAAAAAGTCATTTAATTTTTCAAGATCGCCCCAATACTTATTGTATTTATCAATCATGTCCTTCCCGGTCAATGGGGACTAGCCGCCCATTCCTTAATGTGTTTGTACACATCACATATTTCTCCAAAAAACCGATGTGTCATCGGTTTTGTTGACGTCGATACTATGTCGGTTTTCACCTTGAATTTCTCAAGAAATCCAACCATAGCTCTACAAATGTTGAAATCTTCTTTTGATGGGGTCAAAATGTCTCGAACAAATGTAGGATCTATTATAATAAAGTAAATGTTAGTATTTATTTTTGTAAAAAAAAAAAAAAAAAAAAACTTTAATACCCTTTGTTTAGGAGCCTATAACTCACTGAATATACAACCAAATAATGCATATAAATAGTGTAAACTGTAGTACAAATTGTAAACTACAAGCTGGAAAAAAAAATCGGGCTAATCGGACAAATAATGAAGACGTTATGACTCTTCAAAGTTGGCTAAAATTTTGGAAAAATACTGAAACAGAAAAACTCAGAATTAATATCCAATGTTTAGAGGCCTATAACTCACCAAATATACAACCAAATAACGTGTATAAATAGTGTAAACTGTAGTACAAATTGTAAACTACAAGCTGGAAAAACAATCGGGCTAATCGGACAAATAATGAAGACGTTATGACTCTTCAAAGTTGGCTAAAATTTTGGAAAAATGTTGAAACAGAAAAACTCAGAATTAATATCCAATGTTTAGAGGCCTATAACTCACTAAATATACAACCAAATAATGCGTATAAATAGTGTAAACTGTAGTATAAATTGTAAACTACAAGTTGGAAAAAAAATCGGCTAATCGGACAAATAGCGAACATGTTATGACTCTTCAAAGTTGGCTAAAAATTTGTAAAAATGTTGAAATATAAAATTAAAAAAAAAAAAAAAAACAATGGAATGGAATATGAAATTACCTTTGACTTCAAACATGCCAAAAACCTTCTCCAACTCCACCACAATCTTCAATAACTCGTATGTGGAGTTCCATCGAGTTGGGCTATCATTGCAGAAAAACTTTTTGGATTCCACATTTAGCTCTTTCATGCATTCTTTGAACCTTTGAATCCGTTGTGTAGAATTCCTAATATATTTAACGGCCTTTTGCATGCACTTGATACTAGATTGATGTTGATCAAACCCATCCCTAACAATAAGGTTAAGGATGTGGGCCATACACCTTACGTGTAATTGCTTCCCCCCATCGTACAAGTTTGGTAGCTTTTTCATTAGAATTTCGATTGCTTTGTCATTTGCACTAGCATTGTCAACGGTTATGGTCATTACGTTATTGATACCCCACTCTTGAAGACAAGTCAACGACGTGCGCCCAATGTCTTCTCCCTTATGACTATCTAGAGATTTAAAGTTGATAATTCTTTTATGCATGACCCAATCTTCATCAATAAAGTGGGTCGTGACCACCATATAGTTCGACCTTTGACATGAGCTTGTCCAACAATCGGTCGTCAAATGCACATTACTTAGGGGATTATTGAAGAACTTAAATAACTTAGCCTTTTCTTCAAGAAAGTAATCGGTAACTCTATTTGAAATTGTGGTTCTACATGGCAAAATTACTTTCCCGTTCAATGCATTTGTATACTCAATAAATGATTCGTTCTCTACAAACTTGAATGGTAATTCTCCAACTACAAATAATTTTAACAAAGATTTTTTTATTCTTTTCTCATCATGCTTCCAAGTCCCAATACTATTCTCTCCGTTTTCATTTTTTTTGAAATTTAAAGTGGTTTGGTTTTCTAGTTTTTTTTCTAAATTTTTTGGGTTCATTTTACATCTTTCTGTATGTTTAATCATACTAGACGTACCGTTTGCGCCGGATTCGGTTTTGAGCAAAGTTCCACATTTTTTGCATTTGCTATGTCTAACTTTGTCAATATGAAGTACATCATAGTCGTTCCAACAAGCCGCCATTTGGGCATATTTCCTTTTCTTCGGGTTTGTTGCTTGACTTGTTCCTTCAACTTGTGTGTTATCAACAAATACATCTTCATCATCAATCTAAAGCATAATAACAAAATAGATTCATCATACATCTAAAGCATAATAGCATTTAAATAAATTCATCAATATGGAATGACACAAGTAAAAGAACATATATGGTTATTTTCATTAAATTCACTTATTCAATTTTCAATGAGTAGTAGATTAAGATACAAATACTTACTTGTGTTTCTTGATTTGGAACCCAATTTTCCATGAATTGAATGGAGTTTTATCAAGTATAAACTACAAAACAAGATGAGAAGACGATTCAAGAAGTTTGAAGCAGGGAAGTCGAGTAAAACCTAATGTCGATCAAAGCCTATTGTAGCAACTCGCAAGGATCATGTGTCGATCAAAGGCAAAGCTGTCGGCCAGCAAGAAGTAGAACCAAATCACCAATTGTCGATAAAAAAAAAGGAAGGATTAGGATATACGATATTACGATTTTGGTGTAATTGGCGATCAAACAAATTAAATGTCGACAGCAAGAAGTAGAAGTCGGCACTTGGCAGCAAGAACTAGTAGAATCGATCGAATGTTGATCAAAGAAATCGGCAGCAAGAAATTTCCAATGTTCTTCGATTCGGTGCAATTGTGATTGTCGGTTCGATTTGGTGTAATTGTGTTTGGTTTACCCGCTATTAGGATTAGGGAATTGAATGGGAGAATCGTTGAGACTTGAGACGTCGACTGAGAGGGAGTCCTTATTCGATTCACGGCTCACGCAATTGAAAATAGACGATTCATATTCGGTTCGGTTTTTTGGACGGAATAAATCCTTATTCGAGTAACCCGGACCGAATAACCCGAAAACCGAATAAGCCATATACAGATACCCGAAAACCGAATCGAATTGCTTATTCGGGTCTTATTCGGTTCGGTTCGGTTCTCGGTTCGGTTCGGGTTTTCGGCCCAATTTCTCATCCCTAAGCGAGATCTATAGACAATCTTTGAGTGTTCAATTTTAATTGTATTGGAACATGTTTCCCGCTTCCAGATATGCCCCAGTAATCAAAGACTTCCAGAGTACTCCTTACATCGGGTGAGCAGACCATCATTAGGAGAGAAGATAGATTCAGAGTATTATCACTTATAGTGCATATGCTGTGTACCAGGTCGGATTGTTAGTCACGCAAAGGAGACAAACATATGGTTAACAGATAAGAGGAATTTCATATATGTATATGTATAATATGCAGAGAAATAGAGTTGCATATGTTACAGTCCAGGTCGGATCTCTTCCAATCACGCAGAGGAGGTAACATATGACTAACAGACAAGAAAGAAAATGATTTTCTACAGACCAAATTTATCGGAATTTACCAGTCGCCCCATCAATACCGGAATTAAGGACAGAATCCGTACATGGAGGAAAAGTTAAACCATGGTTCCAGATACGGGTTCATTTAATGTGACGAGTAGATTCCCATATATATCTCCATGCTCAACCTATCCAAGCGTCGTATTGTCAGGCTGAACGGATCTAACTAGGTCAAGATTTGTCAAGTCTATAGATTCCTTAAGTTCATCTGCACCTATTCAAGTCCGTTAAATTCTTCGTGCCTACCGACGCATCAAACCGGAGCATAGACCCTTCAACTTTGGGTACGTTACGCAGACTCAGGTTGCCTGTTATCACTCACTTCCCAAAACATCTCCCTCCAGCACATTCCATAACCAACATATTATTATTTTGATTTTTTTTTTAATTTTTAAAATTTTGTTTTGTTTTTATTTCTCCCCCTAAATTTGTGCATAGGAGAGAAATAAAAGTAAATTCGCAAATTTAAACTATCCTAAAACAAAAATTTGTCTTTAAAGCGAACCAGCTTAAGAAAAACTCAAGAGTATAGAGAAGAAAACCCAAACCGTAAGTCACCGATTGAATTTACATCCAGAAGGTCTAAGAACAACACGCATAATCTCAAAACAGATCCGAAAATTCTTCATGTCATTAAGCACAATCCCTGTGAGTGATCACTTCCTTTCTTCCCTTCCCGCAAGGACACATACTCTCAAACAATGTTCTGAGTGTTGTACAGTTGAGAGATGCCTCCTATCATGTGCTTGGAGCAACCACTATCAACAAACTGAAGTCTGATGATATGCCTCCATAGCTGCTCCAGCACACAGCGGGATCAGTTGGTCTTTGGAACCCAATCCATTTTGAAACTGGGTTGACCTTTGTCATCCTTGCATGGTACTCTCTCCCATGACATGTCCTGCTTATCACAAACAAAAGATAAAGAAATATTAGAGTCGTTAGAAGATTTGGGAGAGTGAGCCTTTGGAACCCATTTGTATTTGGGTTTAACCCATTCCTTTTTCGATCTGATGGGTGGCTCAGTACTTGCTTTTGATCTTGATGTCGGCCGTTTAGATGAATTTGATTTTGGCTTCATAGGAGCATCTCTTGGATTTGGCTTCTTGGTCGACATTCCCTTCTTGACCTTGGGATTTGATTTCTTGGCCTTGGGAGTTGAACTCTTGCCCTTCGTGGCATTCCAGTCGCCATTGTCTGAACATGACCTTGAGGGGTTTCTTTTGAAGTATCTCCCTCTTGGCGTGTTCTGCCACCCTTTTGCGTAGTAGGGAACGTATGCTCGATTAAGACAATTTCTGGCAATGTGTCCAGGTGTTCCACGGTGAAAGCATGTCTTTTTCTTCACTGTGGAGTTGTTTCTTCCTGCCCCTAGTGGCATGTCCTTGCCTTGTCTCTTGCTTTTCCCACATGCACAGTTGCAACAGTCACTCTGTTTAGCTTGAAATGGTGGCCTGTATTTACCAACAACAGGTTGATCAGAAGCAATTGAGTTCAAAGCAACAAATTCAGAGTTCAAGGAGATGTTGGTTTGTTCAATGGTGTTCTCCTTGTTCTCATCATTCTGCTACTTTACCTGCACATGAAGTAGAAGCATTAATATCGTTCAGCTCAACATCCTCAGTTGGCCCTGATTGTTCAGTCTTAACTGAAGCTGGAGCAGGGTTTTGGCCATACTAAGCAGGCATTTCTTCCTTATTGGTCTCAACGGTTGGGCTATAACTGTGATTAAAAGGAGGTGGCACACAGTGATACCCTAGACCCTTGGTTTGATTATCTTTAAAACTCAATTGATTTTCTACTAAGGACTCGACTGTCTTACTTGATGCAATATAATTTTTGAAACTAACATCTGTTTTTCCATACTTTATTTTCAAAGCATCAAGTTCTTCAGTTACAGCAGCAAGTTTGCGTTTAATGTGATCATAATTTTCACACTTGTTGCTGTAATCTTCTTGTAATTTCCTAAAGTCCTTATTCTTGGCCTCTAATTGTGCTTTTAAAGGTTTCTGACCTTTCCTTAGAGTATAGCCTTCGTATTTACGGTCCTAATTTTCCCTTTTTAATAAATCGATTTTATCGCGAAGAAATTTAATCGTAGCTTTACAAGATGGAGTACATAAAACTTCATTTACCGGAATTGATGTGGAACTCATTTTCCTTTTTTTTTTATTATATATATATATATATATATATATATATATATATATATATATATATATATTTAATTGCCCTTTGACTTAAAAACCGAGAAAGTCAACCTTAAATGTCAAATTTAAAAAATCAAACTCAAAAGTCAAACTTGAAAAGTCAAACATAAAAGTCAAACCGAAAAGCCAAATTTGAAAAATTAAAAGTCAAACGAGAAAGTCAAAATTTAAAGTCAAATGTCAACTTTTAAAAGTCAAAGTCAAAATTTTAAGGTCAAAGATAAAAATAAAATCAAAAAAATTAAAAACAAAAAAATTTGGGTTGAAAAAGGATTTTAAAAATAAAATTTTGAATTTTTGGTGTTGAAAATGTCAAAATTTGAAAGTTGGAACGAGAAAACTAGGTTATGTTTTAAAAAACCGAAGGAACCCGGGTTCAAATCCCGGCAGCCCCAATACTCCCCTTATTTTTTAATGAACGCGTCGAACACTTAAGCTGACCGCACACGTCCAAGCCGTATGCACCGAGCCAACCGCACACTCCCGAGCCGCACACACCGAGCCACACACCTTCAACCGGGCCGCACACCTTCAACAGATTCGCGAAAAAAACGACGTTTTCACCCTTTTTTGCTCTAAAACTCGATCAAAAACTCGTTTTTATGAAAAATGCAAAGAAGTAACCCCCCTTATTTTTGCGAGATCTATCCAAAAATGCTGTTCTCTTTTCAAAATAAGATCAAATAAGTCCAGATCTGAAAAAATTGATTGATACAACCTGACTCTGACACCAATTGTAAGTCCCAAAATTGCTTGTGTATCAATCAGATCCAATTATTGGTGCGGAATCCCAATCAATTGGATGATGTCAGATCAATATAGAAGAGAAGGACAAGAAGATGATGAATCTAATGATGTATTCAATATGAATAATGCTCCTTACAATAGACTCTCTCTCACACACACTTCTTCTCTCTAACTTTCTCTCTCTACAAGATGCTCTCCTCTCCTACCATCTCTAACCGTACACTCCCACATGCACACTCTATTTATATGGACCTCCAGCCATACACATGTGTACAGCCGCACACCCTGTGTACGGCCGTACACACAAACCACAAACACATACAATATTACATAAAAATATATTTTCCTAGAAAAGCAAAGTATAAACCATATTTTTGACCCAACATACTGCATTTTTAATACTAATGTAATATGTTTTTAAAACATAATTAGTATATGTTTAGGTATATTTTGCCAATTCAGATATGATGCTAAGGGTAGGCAAGGATTCACAACGTTACATACATGTGTTGCAGCCATTCATTTGATAGCTATGGGAGAGTCACCCGAAACCATGGACGATTATATGAGAATGTCTAAAAGAATTGCACAAAAAAGTTTGTAGAGATTGTCAAAAGGTGTTGTTGAAACATTCAAAGACGTATATTTACGGAAACCTTCATTGCATGATACGCAAGAACATTATGCAGCGCATGAAGAAAGACATAGTTTTCCAAATATGCTTGGAAGCATTGATTGCACATACTGGAAATGGAAAATTTTGAATGATGAAGTTAGAGTACTTTGAGGTTATTGGCATTATTATCCCTTAGTGGAGAAAAGTGGAAAGAAGATCCCATGCATGTAAGGTGGCCAGCACAAGAGTACACCCAGCGTAAGCTGGGGTACGTCCAGTGAACAAGGAATAAGTGATCGCGGGTGTTAGAGAAGTAAGCC